ACGAACGTCATAGAAGGCACCCCTGCTGCATCAGACCCAGACCCCTTCGAGCGATGAACAAATCATGACGGAAGGTTTTTCTTAATTTTCGGCCTCCGGGGGCCCTCACTGGGCCTCGGGAGCGTCAAAAAACGACTCAAGATGCAAAGCCGGTCATGGGGATAGGGTCGGGACCTTTGGGGGTCGGGTGATGAACAAATCATTACGTCGGGGGTCCGGGGACAGGAGATTGCCTTTTATCTGGCGCGTGACGGTCGTTGCCCGGGTACCCCACCCCTGGGGCAACGGACACGATCGTAATTACGCGGGGGGGTGGCTGGATTCCCCCTCGCGTGGTGGTGTTCGTGCGCATGCTATGGCGATCGGAGCCCATTCCCGCCCCGACGTGCTTTCACAACGTCGACCCCCAGAGTTCTCGACCCCTTCCCCGAGACCGGTTTTTCATCCCGAGTCGCTTTTTGAGGTTGCCGAGGCCTAAGGCCCCCCTGAGGATGTTAAAATAACGAACAGTGTCCGTCATGATGTTTTCAAAACGCAAGCCCTGAAGTCCTGGCGTTCCATGTGTCTCGAGCCCGGCGTTTTCGCTCAGATTCGGGCCCCGGGATCCTCACAGATCGATCCGGCTCGAAAACCTCCCGCCGTCATGAGTTCTTCACACTTCGAGGGGGTCTGGGCCATGGAGCCCCAACCGACAAGCTGTTTGGGGGCAAGCCTCCCCCCTGGATCGTCGAGGGCTGGGCGTGGCCTCTCGGCGGGAGGATCTGGACGCCCGAAATGGGTACGGAAAGAATCGGTACAATGCCCAACAGCAGTTCCTGTTCATTTTGAACAGGATTCGCTGTCCACGCCGCCGCGGCCTGTGTCCATTCGAGGCAGGAGGCCGCCTGCCCAACAGCGGCCGCTGTTGGTTTGGGACAACATTTGTTGTTGGGCATTGTACCCGTTATTCCCGTACCCACTTCGGGCGTCCAAAAGAGTCGGCACGATCGGAGCCCAGACCCCTTCGAGGAGTGAAAAAAAATCACGGCGGGAGGCTCTTCACCGTTTTCGGCCTCTGGGGGACCTCGCCGGGCCTCCCCAGAGATCCAACGCAGTGACAAAATCAAGGCGGAGGTTTTTTTCCAATTGCGGCCCCTAGGGGCCCTTGTCGGGCCACTTCGGGCGTCCTGGGAGGAGGGCGCGGCGCGCGCCCTTGGGAAACCCCCGCAGCTGGCCGTGTGGGGCCGGGTGCACACCATGACCTACGAGTTCGTGCCCGCGGAAGAGCACTGGGAGCCCGGGGGCCTCACCTCCTCTTCCCTCCCTGGGGCGGAAGGGGTTGGAAGGCGGAGGAGGAGGAGGAGGAGGAGGAGGAGGGGGAGGAGGAGGAGGAGGGGAGGAGGAGGAGGAGGAGGAGGAGAGGAGGAGGAGGAGGAGGAGGAGGTGGAGGAGAGGAGGAGGAGGAGAGGAGGAGGACGGGGCGCGGAGATGGAGGATTGTGGCAGCAGCAGGAGGAGGTGGACAGGAGGGTAGAGAAGGATGGGGTGGGTTTAGTGAGGGAGGGAGAAAGAGGAGGAGGCGGAGGAGGAGGAGAGAGGAAGAGGAGGGAGGAGGAGGAGGCGGAGGAGGACGAGGAGGAGCAGGAGGAGGAGAGGAGGAGGGAGGAGGATGAGGAGGAGGAGGGGAGGAGGAGGAGGAGGAGGAGAGGAGGAGGAGAGGGAGAGGAGGAGGAGGGGGAGGAGGCTGGAGGAGGAGGAGGAGTGCGGAGGAGGAGGAGGAGTGAGGAGGAGGAGGAGGAGGGAGGGGCGGAGGATGAGGAGGAGGGAGGCGGAGGGAGGAGGAGGAGGTAGGCGGGGAGTCGGAGGAGGAGGCGGAGGGCGGAGGGGAGGAGGGGAGGCGGCGGCAGGAGGATGTGGCCGGCAGGAGGAGGAGGGACAGGAAGGGCAGAAGGAGGGGTGGATGTGAGGAGGGCGAAAGAGGGGAGGGGAGGATGAGGAGAGGGGAGGCGGAGAGTTGGTGGAGGCGGAGAGGAGGAGGAGGAGGGGAGGGAGGGGAGGAGGGGCAAGGCGGAGGAGGAGGAGGAGGGGAGGTCGGAAGCCTAGGAAGAGGGCCGGAGGAGGGGTGATGGAGGCGGAGGCTGGCTGAGGAGGAGGAGGAGGTAGGAGGAGGAGGAGGAGGAGGAGGAGGAGAGGAGGAGGAGGGAGGCGGAGGAGGATGGAGGAGGATGAGGAGGATGAGGAGGATGTGATAGGAGGGTTGGCGGATGTGGCAGGCTGGAGGAGGGGAAGAGGGACACAGCAAGGTCGGGGTGGAGTGTTTGATGAGAGGGGAGGAAAGAGGGGGAGGGGAGGAGGAGGAGGAGGGAAAGGAGGAGGAGTAGGAGGAGGAGGAGGAGGAGCTCGTGGAGGAGGGTGGGTTCACGACGCCGACGACGACGACGCCGGAGTTGTAACAGAAATGCGACTGGCGCGTTTGCTGTCATCTCTTGTTCTGGGGCCCTGGCACCTTGGGCTAGCAGAGAAACGACCCGCGGCCAAACGAGCGCATCGAAGCAAAGCCCGACGCCTGAGTTAGTATGGCCCCCGTACGACGGCAGCGTGTGCGGGATCGTGCACGGGGGAGGAGGAGGAGGAGGAGGAGGAGGAGGAGGAGGAGGAGGAGGAGGAGGAGGAGGAGGAGGAGGAGGAGGGAGGGAGGATGACGACTAACAGCCAGCATTGAACGATGTCCAGGACCCCGCCGCGGCAAGAAGCCTGGAGCGAAGCTCGGACGCGTAGGTAGGCCTCTGCTTCCTTGTCCGGAGGTTGCCCGACTGGCTGTGATTGAATCAAGGTGCGAAGCAGGAGTGAGGGGCAACGTTAGGAGGGATAGGCTCAGGGGGGGACCAATCGAAACCCAGTCGCCAATTGATCGCCGACAAGGGCCCGATTCCCCCACCCCGCCCATGAACATGCGGACTCGCTATTGGGGGCCAGTCGCCGATCTATATGTGATAATGTGTATATACATATATATATATATATATATATATATCGCTGTTTCAGGCTCGAAGTCAGTTTCCGCCGCTGGGCCGGTCCCCCCTCTTACGTTCCCACTCAAGCGGGAGAACGACGGAGGATCTGTTCCCCTGATGCCCGGCGTTGCGAAAAAGCTGCGACATCGCGAAATAACCGCGACCGGAGCCCTATAGACCCCCTATCTCCGCGCCACCTTCTCCCACCCGGCTCGGCCCCGGAGGGCCCGTGGGCCCGCAGCTGGGCAAGAATCCTAGAGCCCTGGCGTCGTGATTTTGTCAAAGCGTCGATCCCCAGAGGTCCAGACCCCTTCCCCGGGACCGGTTTCTCCCGAGCTGTTTTTTGACGGTCTCGAGTGCCAGTGAGGGCCCCCAGAGGCCGCAAGTCGCAAAAGACCTCCCGTCGTGATTTTCCCACAACGCGAGGGGATCGGAGATGCTCGGCGTACAGGATCCGGCTTGAATAAGGAACGCCTACTTATCACAAGGCCTTGCTTTGGTTTGCATGCGTTCCGCTACCTTTTTGGCGGCGAGCCCCCCTGGTGTTCCTTCAGATTTTGGACGCGCGGGTTCGTTTTGTCAACGAGGGCGGCTGGTCTAAGGAACGGGGCTCCAAGAGGGGTTCGGTTCCTTGCGCTTGCTCGACGTAGTGCGACGGCGGTCGCGCACAAGCCCGGCGCCCCTGTCGGGCCCTCCCGTTCCTTGCGGAGCGCGCGTTGGAGTTGGAATGGAATGGAATGGAAATCCGCAAGGGAAGCAAACGACAGGAAAAAGACAGGCTCGGCGCCCCCGCCGGAGCCGCTGAGAGGCTAGCCTCCGCGCATAGCCTCACCTACTCCTCGATGTCGGAATCGTCCTCCTCCGTGGCCCTGGCGCGCCGCCGCTGGCGCCAGCGATTGACGGCCGCCTCCACGTCTTCCTCGTTCAAGCCGTATGCTGCCAAGATCTCAACCCTGGTCAGCATGCGCCTGGGCGCCCCCCTCCCCATCTGGGGTCCGACCGTGGGCCCTGCCACTGGTGCGCGGCCGAAGTCTGGCCCCAGGCACGCGGCGAGGTCCGCCGAAGTTGGCTCCCGCAGCGTGGAGAGCACCCACGTTCGGCACTGCCGATGCCCCGGGTGCCGGCCGTCAGCCAGGCGGGCTCTCTGGCTCTGGAGCGTGGTTGTGGTTGCCCCGTGGCACGTGCCTGCCAGGTTGCGGGCGTATCTCGTGCCATAGGCTCCGCACCTCAGGCACGCCACCAGGGTCTGGGGCGGGCGGCCCGGAGCGGTGGCCTCGGCAGCCCGGAGCTGATGCGAAGCCGCTCCGGATCCTTTGCGTGCCGCCCCTCTGACACCGCCGCCGTCGACAGCCGCGGGCCCACCGCTGGCTTCGGCGTGCGCGGTGCTAGGGCCGTCGCCGACGACCAGCTGCACCTCGGCGCCGCCCTCTGGCTGCCCCTGCGGCCGGGCCTCCAAGCCATCGCAGTCCTTGGTGCCCTCGTCGGCCATGACCGCGTGGAGCTCCCCTGACCAGCGCGCGGCCTCCTGGGCGATGTCGTGCAGCGTTAGCGTGAGCTCCTCAGCCTCCGCGGGCATGCTGTGGCACTCTGCCCCGTGCTTGGCCCACGTGTCGGCGGCCGCGTTGCCGGCGCGCTCCCAGTGGGTTATCCTCCCCGCAGCGACGTCGGCGTGCGTGGCGTGAGCGAGGACCTTCGTGACTGTGAAGTCCCCGAGCCCGAAGGAACCCCAGAATGGGCCCCACAGGTGTGCCCGCTCGTCCCCTGAGGAGTCCCCTGGCCCGCGCCTGAGAGCGGCCACGGTCCCAGCACAGTCAACGAAGAGGTCGAGGTGCCCCAGTGCAACCAGCGGGAGCGCGAAGATGGCGAAATCCTCGCCGTCGCGGCTGAGCTGCCTGGGGCACATGGCCAGCGGCACCGGCCCATACGCAGCAGCCTCAGGTACGCCCCAGCGGTTGCACTGAACAACTGCCCACCCAGCCCGGCTGATGCCCGGGAGGCGCCCTGCGAAGGCGGAGCCGTCAGTGAACAGCATGCCCCCGAGGCGGCCCGAGCTGGGCCGATTCCACCAATGGATCTCGAACTCCTGGCAGCCGATGACGCTCCAGAGGTGCTGGGGGTCCGGGAAGATCCCGCGCGCGAATCGCTCAGCAAACAAGGGCCCCTCGCGCTGCGCCCGCCGGGCCCTCGCCACCAGAAATGGGGATGCTGCGGTCCGCCTGCGGCTGGCATGGGCATCGCACTCGTACACCCTGTGGAAGATCGTGCCAGCCTTAGCCCGGCACAGCTTGCACAGCCCGCACGCTGCGAGGCCATGGCGCCGGAGCCGCTCCTGGCACCAATGCGTGTTGCCCACAAGGGCCCGGAGGGAATTCTGCTGCCGCTTTGTCCAACTGCGTGCCGATCCCCACAGCAGCGGCCGCAGGGCCAGCCAGCTGATCGGCTGCACCCAGCGGTGGTCGTCACGCACCTCCTTGGCCTCGCACGCCAGTGCCATGCAATCCGAAGCACGCCAAGCGGCGTCTTGGGCGAGACGGGCAACCAGACTTGGGGCCGTGCGCACCAGGTCCAAGCGGGCGCCCGCGTCGGTGACCAAAACGGCCTCGCCCTCGAAGCGCCAGCCGCACCGACCCAGCGTCAGCAGCGCCACGTCCGCGGGGGAGATTGCCTGCGACCACGGGTGCCTGAGGTGGCCCAAGCGCGCTGCGGCGTCTGTCAGGCACGCTCGGAGGACTCCGCGCGGCGGCAAGCCCTCCCAGACAGCGCGAGCCCACTGCTGCGCCACAGCCCCCGCGTTGATGGCCAACGGATCCGCGCTTAAGAGGCGCCCGAAGGAGGCGAGCCGAAGTCCGACCGAGGCGCCCCTGGCCACAGGCCCAAAGCTGCGTGCAACCTGCACCCGGAGCTGGTGCAAGACCGTGGGGGCCAGCCCAGTCACGGTGGTACCCCACGTGGCTTTGGCGGTAGGCCCGCCGCGCTGGATGCCGTGAACAGGCCCGTCCCCGCTGCGGAAACTCCAAAGCCGGACTGCCTGCGCCCGCGCCGTGGCCTGCCTTTCGGCGCAGATGCTGACTCGGCGGCGGCTCCCGTCGTTGGCGTCGGTCCCGAGGTTCCGCGCATGCTGCACCTTGGCCGCGGGGCCAAGCGCCCAGCGCGGCGCGAGGGCAGCCTCGACCCCCGCGTCCGAGACGAGGTACGCGAGCTTCTTCTCGTGCACGGGCAGCTGCAGCATCGAGAGGCTGTCGATGACGTCCCTGGTCGCGCTGCCAAGCTGCTCTGCCAC